ATTGGTGAAAACTGAAATGGAACAGAGCTTGCTCTAATTTATGCGCGAGAAATCATGTCTTAATGGGTAGTAAAAGGCAGTTTGCTTAGTGCTAAGACAGAAAATGATGAGTTGCAGATAATGTAATTTACAATAGACATGGATAAGTTATTACCTGTATTAAGCAATAACAACAGTTTTCCTTTTTGCAGAGTTTGTTATACAGGCAGATGAAGTACTATTAGCTAATTTGCTGAGAGTTAAAAATGAATGCAAAGTAATGAAGACATTGTCAGTGCTTTAGTAATCTTGTATAAGCGCAGACAATTAGTACAGCGGCTAAACATGAAGTCCACAGAGACAGTTCTCCAAGGAAGAAATAAATTTGATCAGAAAACAAATAACTGTGGATATCTGAATAGAAGTGTAAATGTACCGGTTGCCTATATGGCAAGTGAGTAGTGAAAAATGAAGAGACGTGCTGTGGCCTGCACTGAGGAGAGTAAAGTTTTGCTTCTTGTTAGGTGCCTTTACCAGTGTGTTGTCTTTCCTGCAGCTTTTCTTCAGTGCTTCAATTACATTGTTGACAGCAAAAGTTCCTTTGCTATTCTTAACAGCAAACGCAAGATAGCATTAAAAACCAACCATTTGGGAAGGCCGAAAAATCATATAATTCAACCAAAGTTGCAGCCCCCGCAGTGTTTCCCACTAATCCCTGTTCACCAAACTGGCCTTTTGGTGATACAGAAGTAGCCAGCGTGTAGCCCTGACCTGAGCACTGAGTATCTCCAGCTGCTTGCCGTGCTTGGGAGGAATACCCAAGGAAACCACTGTTTCTCTGATACGGTGCAAGAAATGGGGAAGGGAAGCGTGTTTCTCAACCTACTGTACAAACCTTTGCATTTTCTTCCTTTTTAATTTGTGCTGAATTTGGGCATGGACCAAACTCCTAGCTCTGCAGTGTTTCCCCTGTACTTTGAATCAGTGTTCAAATGTTCACAAAGCAGGTTCATGTTGAGGTTCGTCCCTTTGTTCTCAGGGGTTTGCCTTTTACTATCACTTCTGCCTCTAAGAAAAACTGATGTTATCTTCTAAAGAGAAAACTCAAGATTGTATTTGAAGCTGAGGATTTCCTGTGTGCCTATCCCCAGCCTGTGCAGTGGTGGCAAGGAGTAGCTCTACGTGGCTGCACTTCTTCAGAAAGCTTTAAGAACAGTCCTTGCACAGGAGGTGAAGGAATCCCCAGCTACTGGTGCCTTTGATCTCAGATAAAGGTCAGCCTGTCTAGCAGGAAGTGTGATCGGAAATGCTACCTTACGTCGTCCTTCGCTTTCTCTTCCTCACCCTGCGATGATTCACTGTACCTTTCAGGGGACACCTTTACCACAGCACCTAGGGTTTTTTATTCAGCTCTTCAGAGTAGCTTTATTTCGTCTCATGCACCAACCGGCTTAAGCCAGGACCACCAAGATTTTCAATGAGCTGATAAGAAACTGTCCACAATGCTTATTATTACAGCAATGTTTAATAGCTATTGTGAGATTTTTTTTGTTTGTTGGTTTTTATATTAATATATATAAGTCTACTAGTGTGAGTCTTAAAAATTCAGTGATGCTGTCTTATGCCAATAAGCACATGTTGCTCAGCTTGCGCTGAGTTTCCGTGGCTCTCTGAGCACGCTGTGGGTTCTGAGCCTCTGAACACTAACACCCACAAAGTTACACCTAACACAACGTCAAGAGTTGCTGACGTGCTGTCGTGGTTTAAACCCACAAAGTTTTTGGGAGCTGCAGGTTCCAGTTGTTTCTCCCAACACCCGCCTCTGGCAAGATTATTGCTGCACGGCTGGTGGGGGAATGCATGACTTACATGTTCTACAGGTAAGCCTGGTGCAACAATTTCCTTTATTAATTTTGTTATAAATGCTAATGTGTGCTTTTTTTTCAATTGCTTTTGAATTCCTCTATAACTTTAGAAATGTTGTTACAGCTGTGAAGATTGGTTATTAACTGACAAATAACTTGCGTAAAGATAAGCACTTTCTCTGTTGAGTTTCCTCAAAGCTGTATTGGCTCAAGATAGTTATCACCACAGAAGATGAGTGACAGGAACAGTAAATAGCGAATGCTTCAAGTACAGGCTGTTTGTCACCTTTTCTGTCCAAAATGATATCGTGCTGACAGATAGGCTAGTTGTTGCTTTTCACAGACTAAGCCACCTCACACTGCCTAGAAGGAGGAGTGAAGTGCCAGTGTCCGGGACCGAGTACGTGTCCTCCTCCTCACCTGGGATCTGTGCCTTGGCAGGGGTAGGAGATGCTGCTGAGGGGGAGTGGTATTCCCAGGCGGAATGCAACATGGAAGCAGTGTTACTCGTTAGTGATAGCGGGAGGATCACTGTTTATCCAATTCATCTTCACAAAGGTGTAGTTCACTACCTGTAAAGGTCAATCAAGTGACCTAGAGATGAAAGTTGCTTCTGGGTGTGGATTAGGAAGAAAAGCAAATGATAGACTCTGCTTTTACTCTGTACAACATGCCTTTTAGCACGCCAAAGCTTGCACGAGGGAGAAGTAGCATAAGACTGGAGATGGTGGAGATTATCTCCAGTACGTGATCCTCAAAGTGAAAGCGGAAGCGGGAATTGAATCACAGCTATCAGCCATCATTCAGTCTCCTGAACCCAGTTCTGGGAGGTTTTTTCTGAAGGATTAACTTTGGACATAGAGGGTCCATCTCTCTTGACCTGATGTCAGTGGCAGGGACAGGCACCTTCAGATGACAGTTTAGAGATGGAAAATAACTTGGTTGCATTGGATTCCCACCTGTCTGTCAATCCTCAAATTAAGGTTGTGCCAGGATGTAGTCATAAGGTGTGTCAATCCTCTTCCAAGTTGCCAATTTATTCTCCAGAATTTTAGCTTTCCTTTTTCTAACAAGAGCTGCTCGCTGCTATCATTTCCAATATGAAAAAATCTAATGAGATGAGTTGTGTGAGACATGCAGACACATTTGCTTGAGTCTGTGGAGAGCCTTCTGATATAGCTGTAGGGTTTTCCCTCATTTCAGTGAAGTGTTAATTCGGGTGCCAAGTGATAGTAAACCGCTGCCAATATTCTTGGTTATTTTACTGACTTATTTAAGCCCAGTATTGTATTTCTAAAATCAAGCTCTTACACTTGGCATGGGTTTATTTTTAAGGCAGTACCGGCTTTAGAGCTGTGAAAGGAAAGGTGTTAAGCAATATTTATACAGGAGTATCCTAGGAAAAATACATATGGGCTTCTGTGAGAAGACAGTCACTTGATAAACGCAAGTATTCACAGCTGTAGAGCCTCACTAACCCAGCGTTTACCTGCAGCTCACCTACGGCTGCCTCTGATGCTCCCGCTGTCACCACAAGAGTTGCAGTAGGTAGCACACTGACAGAAAACACCGTGTCCCTTGGTTTGTCTCTATTTAAAACAGTGGTTTTGTAAAAGAATTCTAAAATACAGCAGGAGAAGATAGATTTGCACCACTAAGCACCACTAAGCACTCCACTCTGCAGGAGCAATTTTTGTTATTTTGTCATTTTTGCTCCTCGGTAGGATTTTTTGCAAATTTTTCAGTGACAGGTTCCACAGTTTTCAGATGGATTTCACTGAACGTGGTTTTGTGCTCACAGCGTGTCTGGGAATGCTTTTGGTGAGCAGTCACAATACCTAATTCCTCTAGTAGTATCAGTCATAAATTGGGATATTTTTACGGCCATGCCAAAGGTTTTTATGCTGTTGTCACCTGAGCCTCTGTATGTGGAAGACAGTATTATATATATTATCATTTATGTCTGTATCAGCGGTCTGTTAATTACAAACTTGGAAGTATTAGTGATATTCAGTACTTTCAATGCATAAAGATTTTATTTCATAGACAATATGTGGTTGAAGTAAAGTTTTTGTATAATGATTAATGAATGAATTCTAATGAATTAAGAAAAAATAAGAAAAATGAATTAAGAAAAATGTAATTAGGGTATTTTCTTTCCAAGCCTAGTGAAGTTTAATGAAAAATAATTGCACTACATCCTTGAGTGTAATCTGGCTGGACAGACTATGTCACAGAGTAATACCTTTGTACTGGTATGTTCTTGTCTGTAGAGATTATTTGCTTTTGGATGAATGTTCCTGCTAAGCAGCTCAACGTATTCTTAATACGTATTTTTCTTCTTTGGGGCAAAAGGTGGGAGAATATGTTTTCTGTGAAAGAGATTGTAAAAAGCCAGTTCGAATGTTTCAGATAAACTTGGGGCTACAGCGATGTTTAGCCCGAGCGCTAAGAAGCCTCAACTTTTCCAATACGTTGCATGTTGTTATGAAATAATTCTCATAATATTGATTTCTTTCTACATCATTTTTCCATGTTGTTTTGGTTGCCTTTTAAAACACTTTAGTCACTCAGAAAACACAAACCATACGTCAAAGATAGTATTTGGCCATAGAAATGATGGCTTTGAAGGCATCACGGTGATCTGTCTCTTCAGCACCATGGCAGACATGCAGCCATGAACTTGGGACGGGACCTTGCAGAGGCCGGGCTGGAAAGGTGGCAGAGAAGGACAAGCGGGTGAACTGGAAAATCTCTCGGTACCGTTTGTAAAACGGTGGGAAGAGCCGTCTCCCACCTAATGGAAGGATTAGGAGGGTAAATGCTTTGTGAAGTCCTCGGCTACCTCTTTAATAGGCTGAAGCAGAAACATTTTACGAGCAGAAATGAACGGCTGCTCCGTCTGGCCAGACCCTGCCTGAAAGACGCCGAAGCTAAAACACGTACAAAAATCTCTCCGTAACGTTACCAGCGGCGCCCGGGCGGAACTTCACGTCCCCTCCTGCCGCCCGGTGCCGAGGGATGACCGCGGTCCTTCCCCCCCGCCGCCTCCCACCGCGGCTCCCGTTCCGCCACCCGTGACGGCGGGGCTGCC